ATTGCCGAGCAGTCGAGAGCTTTTCCTGTTGCGAGGCTCGGCGAGGGAGACGCACGGAGCAGCCAGCTCGGCGAGGAGGAGGAGGAGGAGGAAATAGAAGGAGATCCTGTTGCCCCTGCCCCTGGAGGGTGCCCTGGCGCATCCTCATATGCATCCTGTGTATTCGGCCCCGCCCCCTCCAGCGGCGCAGGCCGGCAGGGGGGAGACGAGGGAGGGCAGCGTTGGGATCAACCTTGATGCCCGCGTCGAGTCGAGTCGAGGAAGAAGAAGAGAAAGAGGAGGAGGAGGGGGAGAAGGAGGAGGAGGAGGAGGAGGAGGAAGTAGGAACCTTGCAGCCATTAGGAACCAGGAACCAGGAGGAAGAGGAGGAGGACCTAGACCGTCTCTCGTCGTGTGTGAGAACCACGTCATAATAAATGCATATGCTTGGCAATTGTCAGGCTCCGGGGGGCCTCGCTGGGCCTCTGGGGCCGTCAAGAGGCGACCCTGGATGCAACGCTGGCACTGGGAAAGTGCCGGAATTTCTGGGAAGAGACATCACGTGGGTTTGGGAGGGAGGAGGTTGTGCGCCCCAGATTCGGCGGGGGGGTGGGCTGCGCGCGAATCTTGGATCTTTGATGGGTCCGAAGACGGGGCGCCCGCCCAGAGCACAGGCGGCGTCGACTGGCACCGCGGACACACGGTAGGGGCGGCGAGGCGGCATCGCCCGCGCCGGCTCGAGAGATCGCCCGGGAAGGCGGGGACGACCTAGACCTGCCAGATGGAGTCGGAGGATGGCTCCGCATCGCCGATGCATCGGCGATGCGGCTCGATGTGGAGCCATGAGTTCTGCGCGCTGGCGTCGCCGATACACTGGCGATGCGGCGCGTTCCTCCGACCCCATCTACTCGGACCCCATCTGGGGCGTTCCAAATAGGGCCTCGCCTTCGAAGGTAGAGAGAGTTGTCATCCTTCCCCGGCGGGGGGGCGGCGGAAGGTCGGCGGAAGTGAAACGAGTCAGGCCTGCGGGTTGCCACGCCACGCCCCTTCACCTCGTTCTCCTCCTCCTCCTCCTCCTTCTCCTCCTCCTCCTCCTCCTCGTCGGTGGCCCGGAACATGTGGAGCGTTTCACAGCAAGGGCCTTGCCTTCGAGGGTAGAAAGGTGTCACCTCTTCCGTCTCTTCCGCGGCGGAAGGGCGGCGGAGGGTCGGCGGAAGTAGAAAACGAGGCCGACCCTCCGCTGGCGGAGGGCGGAGGCTCGGCGGAGGGCGGCGGAAGCAAAAAGGATGTGCCCCCGAGAGATGAGAACTCGGCACGATCGAAATGGGTACGGAAATAATGGGCGCAATGCCCAAAAGCAGCTCCTGCTCAGTGTGAACAGGACTCGCTGTCCGCGCCGCCGCGGCCTCTGTCCATTTGAGACAGAAGGCCGCTTGCCCAACAGCGGCCGCTATTGGTCGGGGCTGGACAGAACCCCCAATAGTGACACGTCGATTAGTGAATTGTCCGTTTTCGGTTCTCGAGAGGGCGCCGTGGCCGTCAGTTTCCAGGCTTTCGCCCGCCAGATTTGGGCCCGAGGTCGTTTTCACTAAACCACGTTTTGCTAAAGGGGGTTCTGTCCATCCCCGAATTGGTTTGCGACAGCATTTGTTGTTGGGCATTGTGCCCATGTTTTCCGTACCCATCTCGGGCGTCCGAAGGCACGTTTTTGGGCTCGGGGGTTCCGAAAGAGGCCTCCAGCCGAGAGCCGCGCCCGTGGTCACAAGTCGGGCGTGCCCTCTACAGGAGGAATTTTCCAAAAGGAGTCAAAAACTAGTCCGGGGACGACTTGAGTATTTTTGCATATTGGGGGTCTTTTTGCTTGTATGTTTCACTCTTCGTCCAAAATCCGCCTGCAGGAGGACACGCCCGACCTAACTGGAATATTCAAAAGTAAGCGAAAAACTAGTCAGGGGACGACTTTTGGAGTATTCTTCCATATTTTTCATTCTTTAAGTAAAGTCTTATTCTTCGAACAAAACTCGGATGTTGAAGGAGCTCCTACCCTGACACGTCGATTAGCGGCTTGGCCGTTTTCGGTTCGCGAGAGGTCGCCGCGGCCGTCCTTTTTGCGGGTCCAGGTCCGTTGGTTTCGGCCCCAGGCCGCTTTCACTAAAGGGGGGGTTACTACAGCAAGGGCTCCCTCGAGGGCGCGAAGTTATTCGCGATTCGCGCTTCGCGGTCCTCGTTCCTTCTCCCCCTCCTCCTCGTCCTCCTATTCTCCCTTTGGGAGGGCGGCGCGAGAGCGCGAAGTTATTCGCGCTTCGCGCTTCGCGGAGCGCGAAGCGCGAAGTTGGGAGCCCTAGACTACAGGGAGGTGCGTCCACCGCCGAAAAATCCGCCTGTTGGATTAAGTCGGGTCTGTCCCTCTGCAGGGGGGATGTTCAAAAATAGTCAAAGAATGATCTGGGGACGATTTTTTTTTTTACCATTTCTGTGTATTTTTGGGTTTTTTTGGGTATTCCTCATTTTTCGTCCAAAATTCATTTGTGGGGGGACAGGCCCGACCTACCTGTAGGAGGACACGCCCGACCTAACCGTGGCCTCTGCCCACGGCGCCGTGGCTTCTCCGGCGGCGCCGGAGCCGCCGTGGGGCCCGCCGGCCGCGCTCCGCGCGACAGGCGGGCCCCTGGCGCGGCCAGGCGCTCGGCCGCGGCCGTTCTGCACGTCAAGCAGTGGGGAAGCGTCCGGGCTCGCCGGTTTGGCCCGCCAAAGGGTGGCCTAAGAACCATTTGTGGTCTGCGCGAGATGTTCTCAGAGCATTTCGGGCCGGGACTGTCCTGTTGGAGCACATCGGGTTTCTGTTCTAAGAACCTTGTTTTTGTTCTTAGAACACTTCTGGGTTCTAGGAACATGTCGTGGTAGGCCTATAGGATGCTGGGACGGTCGGTCCCTGCTCAAACACGGGCGGCGCCCGCCCCTCTCCCTGGAGTTCAGTCGGGCGTGTTCCTCTACAGGGGGAATATTCAAAAATAGTCAAAAAGTCATCTGGGGGCGATTCTTCGTTTTTTAACCTTATTGAATGTTTATTTGAGTATGTTTGATTGTTCGTCGAAAATCGGCCTGTAGGGAGACATGCCCGACCTAAGAGTTGGGGAACGAAGAATGACGTAAACATAAAAAGTAGCAGGTCCGCGCGGATTTCTCGGATCGGCGCTGAACCCCCCCCCTGGCGCGCGGAGCGCGCCAGGGGCGACGTCGGAGGCGCCGCCAGGGGGGTCCAGCGCGGATCCGAGAAATCCGCGCGGACCTCTGTGACTTTATGTTTATGACATTCTCCGTTCCCCTAGAGTGGGGCCGAGCGAGTCGACTTTCGGCGGCGAAATCCGAACCCTACCCTCGCCGATCCACAACTCGGGCAAGGCGATGGGCGGCGGGGGTAGGGCTCGGAATGCTCCGAACACGTGGCGAAAGCCAAACCCTACCCCTGCCTCTCATCGATTCAGGAGAATCGATGGTCGGGGGGGTAGGGTTCGGATGTCGCTATTCTCCGAACACGTGGCGAAATCCGAACCCTACCCCGGCCTCTCATGGATGCAGAAGAATCGATGGTCGGTGGGGGTAGGGCCACCTAGACTCGGCATCTCGACTGGCTCCCCAGAGCCCCGACGTCCTCGATGTTGTTTTCACGGCGGCGACCCCCAAAGGAAGCCGACCCACTTCCACTGGGGGCCGGGTGGCGTGGCGTTGTCCCTGGAAGAGGATGTGTCCACGCGTCATATTTGTATTTCTGCCAGTTGTTTTTTGTTTTAGGAATTGTGTGACGTCTTGTTTCTCTCTCGGCCAGGGGCGAAGTGACAATTGCGTTACTCACGACCGCATATGGTTGGGTCTTTCGCCAGGCTTTTTGTTGGTGATCTCGTCGGTCGTATTCGTTTTCTCTTCATGTTCGTGCGGTTCCCAGTCTGGGCTCACCATCGGCCTGTCGCGTGTTCGGATATTTTCGCCACAACATGCTTTCTTGGGGGCATTCGATCGGATCGTTTTCGTTCCATAACGCTGCAGGGCGAACACTGTGTTTGAAGTCTGCTCATATCACCCTTTTACCCATCTATCCTGCTACCGTCTCGGCTCAGGTATTGGAAGCTGGTACCGCACCGCTTGCCCGCGACGCATGAGAAAAGGGATCCCTACCCTCTCCCAAACCTTCCTACACCTACAGGTACCTCTGTAGGTTCGACTCTTTGGTCGTTGACCTACATACACAAGCACGACACAAACACTCTTTTACGTCGCAGCGCGGCAGAGGCAGTCCGCACGCAAGCTCGAGCGGGCTGGGAGCCGCCAGGTGCCAATTGCCAGCAGGAAGAGGGGTGGAAAGGGGGGCCGGCGGGCCGCCGCGGGGGAGAAGTAGGGGGGGGCGCTCACTGGGCGAGAGAATGATAGTGATGGTGATGGTGTTGATCCTCATAATGCTGATGATGGTGCTGGTCATGGTGATGATGATGCTGATGGTAATGGTGATGGTGGTGGTGATGGTGGAGGTGATGCTGATGGAGATGGTGGTGGTGGTGATCGTGGTGCTGGTGGGGATGGTGAATATGATGATGCTACTGGTGATGGTGGTAATGACCATGATGATGTTGATGTTGATGCTGATGATGTTGTAGATGACGGTGACGGTGATGGTGATGGTGACGATGGTAATTCTGATGATGGTGATGATGAGGATGATGCTGATGCTGATGAATGCTGATGACGATGATGGTGATGATGGTGATGATGGTGATGATGGTGGTGCTGATGATGCCGATGCCGATGCTGATGCTGATAATGATGACTATGATGATGATTATGATGATGGGGATAAGGATGATGGTGATGATGATGACGATGATGATGATGATGACGACGATGATGATGATGACGATGACGATGACGATGACGATGACGATGACGATGATGATGATGATGATGATGATGATGATGATGATGATGATGATGATGATGAATCGCCTCGGAGAGCCTTGCAACACGCAAGACGCTGTGTTGGTCGACCCCCCGGTGCGCTCCCTCCTGCCGCGCCCATCATGCGCGCCGCGCTGCTGCTGGCCCTCTGCCCGTGCGCGGGCGCCCTGTCCGCGGACCTCCTCGGCGACGGGCACCTCGCGGCCGACGCTGGGCGTGGCGCGGGCTGGCTGGCGGCGACCGGCGGCGCACGAATCGTAGGATCGACGACGACGACGACGAGGACGAGGATCGACAAAGATCGACGACGACGAGGACGAGGATCGACAAAGATCGACGACGATGGGGACAAGCATCGACGACGAGGATCGACGAGGGTCGGCGACGACAACGACGCTGACGGCGACGAGGACGACGAGAACGGCGAGGACGACGACGACGACGGCGACGACGACGACGCTGACGACGACGAAGACGACGACGACGACGAAGACGACGACGACGACGACGACGACGACGACGACGACGACGACGACGACCGCGGCGGCGGTGGCACGGGCGGGCTGGAACGAATCTAGGCCATCCGAAGCCCGGCGGAAACGCCTTGTGTGGAAAAGTTGCAACGCCCAGAAGACTTTCTAGGGATCGTCGATGTGGGCGTCCTTTTTGCCAATGGCGCCGGCCATCAGTAGGGCGACATCGCCGGTCCTCCGCGGTCGGGCTGCGCGACCTGCGCAGCCGTCCTGGCCCGCGGCCGCCCGGCGGAGCCTCGCTGCAGGCTGCGCGGGTCGCCGTGGGGGAAGCGGCTCGCCGAGGGCAACGGGTCCCGAGGCCGCTCGCCGCACTGTAAGCGGCCCTCGACGGAGAGCCCGTTTCCCCCGCGCTGGCCGTCGCTGCGGCCAGCTGCCGCTCTAGCAAAGGGAGAACAAGCGGCATCCACGTACACTTTCGGAGCTCCGCGCGTCCTCCCAGAGACCCGATGCCGTGATTTTGTTCAACATGGGGTCCCCGGAAGTCTCGACCCATTCCCCAGGACTGGTTCTTCATCCTGAGCGTTTTTTGACGGTCCCGGGGCCCGGCGAGGGCCCCTCGAGGCCGGAAAATGTGAAAAACCTACGTCGCGAAACATCTACGTCGTGATTTTATCAATGCGCTGGATCTCTGGGCGTCTCGGATCGGCTCTTGTCCGGTGCACAATTCTCCGAGCTCTCGGGGCCCTGCTCGGGCCCCGGGGCCTCGTCAGAGAGCGGCCTCGGGAGGAAGACCTCGTCCCAAGGGGAGCGCCCCAGGGGGGGGGGGGGTGGGGCCCGAGGGCAACACCCACCAAGCCACCCCAGTCCAACCCGGAGGCCCCAAGTTGCCCTTCACTTCCAGTGTTAAGTCGGGCGTGTCCCTCAACAGGAGGAATCTTCAAAAATAGTCAAAAGATAATCAGGGGACGATTTTGTTTGCGTATTTCTTTTGATTATGTTTAGGTATTTTTTGAGCATATTAAGTTTTTCGCCCAAAAACCGCCTGCAGGGGGACATGCCCGACCTAATTCCAGTGGGGGGGGATGGGGGAACATGGAGAAAAACACATATGGAGCCCGTACCACCCCCATCCGAAATTCGGGTCTTCGGGTTGGGTTGGGGTGGTCTGGTAGATAGTCACCAGGGCACCAGGGGCTCGTTTTCCCTCGGGACCGGTCTCCCCCGGAGGGTCGCGCCGCATCGGCGCTGCGGCGCGGTGTGGAGCCCAGCTTTCTCCACGGCGACGTCGCCGATGCAAAGCCGACGCATCGCCGATGCATCGGCGGTGCGGCGCGATCCCCCGGCCCCATCCACTCGTGCTCCGTCCTAGGAGGCCTGCAACGAAGGGCTTCGAGCGCGGCTGGCCTGGGCGATAGTGGGATGCCCAGACCCCTCGAGTCGCGACAAGAATCACGGTGGAAGTGCTTCCTTTTTGTTGGCATTGTCCGCCTGAAATTTTGGGTCCCCCACCGGACTTTGCGACCTTCAAAACGAATCAGGATAAAGGAAGCCGGTCCTGCTGGGGAATTGGTCTAGACGTCCAGGGTCTCCCGTCCGGGGGTCTGGGTGCACGCGTGGCCGAATGTCTTTCGAGCGTTTTTGGCACTTCTCTGGCCGTGTGGGTCGGACTTCCGCACGCGTGTCCAGCCCGGGGGGGACGTGAGAAGGGGCGGGCCTGCTCAGAAGGCTCGGAGGTCCCGCAGCCATCTGAGGAGTGTCCTACGCCTAAGCCTTCCCGGAAGGACAGAGAGAACTTCTCTCAGGAGGCCCGAGCCTTCTTGACAAGCCTCGCCGCCATCCGAGGAGGCCTTCTCCTTCTCGTTTCCCCCCGCCCTCGCCGCCGAATCCAGCCGCGTGTGTTTTGAGCCTCCGGGTAAGCTTTGCCTGGGGCCCGCGCGGCCTTTTCGTGGGTCGGCGCCGGGCACTCGCCCTCTCGCGGCGCCGGAGGCGCCGCCCCTGCGGGGCGGGCCCCAGGGACGATCAAGAAGACCGCGCGGACCTGCGAAAGCGTCCGCTGGTGCCGCGTATTTTCGGAGGTTGATAAACCTCCTACCCTGACACGTCGATTTGTGAATTGGCCGTTTTCGGTCCGCGAGAGGACGTCGCGGCCGTCATTTTTGCGGGTCTCGGTCTGTCGGTTTGGGTCCTACGCCGTTTTCACTAAAGGGGGGTTTACTAAAGGGACGTTTCGCCACCGCCGATACTGTTCCTCTGCGTTCCGCTCGCTGTGGGGGGGCCTTCGGGGGGCCCCCCTCGGCGCTCCGGGGGCCCAGGGGCGGCCCGAGAAATCCGCGGGGACCTCCGAGAGCGTACGCTTGTGCCGCTTGAGCGTATGGCTCCTCTACGCTTGAGTCGGGCATGTCCCTCTACAGGAGGAGCATTTAAGGATCGTAAAAAAGCATAGTAAGGTGACGATTTTTCGTGCTCTCATGACTATGTTTGGCAATCGTTTGACCATGTTTTGTTTTCCCTCCAGAGCCCTCCTGTAGGAGGACATGCCCGACCGAAGCGTACGCTTGTGCCGCCCATTGTTCCTCGGCGTTCTGCTCGCTATGGAAGGGGACCTTCTGGGCCCCCCCCCAGCGTTAAGTCGGGCCTGTCCCTCTACAGGGGGAATATTCCAAAATAGTCAAACATATCATGGTGACGATCTTTCAAATTTATTTTTGCCCATATGGAGGGGGGCATTTTTAGCACATATTTCTCGCCCAAGATCTCCCTGTAGGGGGACACGCCCGACTTAACCCAGGCGCTCGGCGGCCACGGGCTTGGCGCAGCTCGGAGAACGCCCGTCGGGAATCGGGAAGGACCCTTGGATGGGGTCCGGGCCTCGGTCATCGGACCCTCCTCCTCCTCCTCCTCGTTGACCCGTCGTCTGTGGCGCCGTCGTTTCCGTCGTCGTCGTCTGTGACTCGAGTCGAGGTTGCTGGCTCAGGTGCTCTGCCAATTTCCAGTTCGTTCATCCCGCGTCGCCGCCATGATGAGTCTGACAGTTCAGATTGACTCATCGCAAGTTAGTCCCTGTCGCTGGCGGCAGGCGCTCTTTTCTTCTTCTGTCTTTTCTGACGCACGGCCCGATGCGACTGACCCTTTTGGCAGGCATCCGTGCAATACCCCACATCTGGGGCGAGGTCCGCTGTGCCTGGCGCTCTCTGCACCAGGGACAGCTGGCCTCGTCGTCCTTGTGTGGGTGGTCGATTTCTATGTTTGTTTTCATTCCTTGGCCTCAGGCCACTGCTATCCTCATGGTAGGATGATATCGTTTGTATACCCCACATCTGGGGCGAGGCCTGCTGTCGTCCTGGCGCTCTCTGCACTTGGGATGGCAGGACTCGTCGTCCTTGTGTGGGCGGTCGTTTGTGTTCACATCTGCAGCGCGTTGCCGTCTTGTGTGCGCGCTCGTTTGCGCTCGGCACGCGTGTCAGGCACCCCGCCTCAGGGGGAAGGCGTATGGCACGTCATTGTGTGGGCTCAGCTCTTTCTCCGAGCACGGGGGTAGGCGTTGGTCCGCCCTGACAGTGGCTCGTGTCGTGGTGTTGCTGAGACCTGGCAGCTACGAGCACCAGGCCCCAACACTCTGCCTCGTCTGGGGTGCGCAGAGTGCTGCGTCTCGTGTGCGCGCGCGTCGCGTTCCGCACGCGTGTCAGGCACCCCGCCTCGGGGGGAAGGCGCGAGGCACACCCGTTTTTGCGCAGCTTTCTCCGAGCACGGGGGCGGGCTTTGGCCTGCTCTGACCGTGGCTCGGTCGCGGCGTTGCTGAGGCCAAGTAGCTTTGAGCTCCTGGCCCCAACGCTCTCGTCAGCGGCAACGCACTGGCTGCTACTGCCACCCACTTTTTTGCACAGTAACGAGCGGCTGGCTGGTGCTGCAGATGCCTTGCGAGTCTCTGCTTAAGATGGGCGGAGACGATTCCAGCTGGTCGCCCTGCTGGAACATGCTTTCCCGCCAAGCTGCCCGCGGCTGGTCTGGCTTAGCCTCGGTCTCGGTCTGTTTTGTGGTTTTGTTCCTGGGGGTGGTGTCCCCGCGTCAGCCACCGCCCAGGTCTTTCAGCGGTGCCACATAGGTGGCTCCGTTTTGTCCTGGCACTCACCAGGGGAAGGTCCATGTTAAAAAAAACCCTCCTCCTCCTCCTCCTCCTCCTCCTCCTCCTCCTCCTCCTCCTAGCTCCTAGCTCCTAGCTCCTAGCTCCTAGCTCTTGGCTCCTCCTCCCCCTCCTCGTCCTCCTTCTCCTCCTCTCCTCCTCATCCTCCTCCTCTCCTCCTCCTCCTCCTCCTCCCTTCCTCCTCCTCCTTCTACCTCCTACCTCCTACCTCCTACTCCTACCTCCTACCTCCTACCTACCTTTTTTACCTCCTACCTCCTCCTCCTCCTCATCCTCCTTCTCCTCCTCCTCCTAGCTCTCCTATTCCTCCTAGCTCATAGCTCTAGCTCCTGCCTCCTCCTCCGCCTCCTCCTCCTCCTCCTCCTCTCCCCTCCTCCTCCTCTGCTGTGCTCCTCTGCCTCCTCTCCCTCCTCCTCCTCCTCCTCCTTCCTCCATTCCTCCTCCTCCTTCCTCCTCCTCCTCCTCCTTCCTCCTCCTCCTCCTCCCTCCTCCTCCCCCTCCTCCTACTCCTAAGCTCCTAGCTCAAAGCTCCTAGCTCCTAGACTCCCAACTCTCCTTTCTCCTCCTCCTTCTCCTCCTCCTCCTCCTCCTCCTCTCCTCCTCCTCCTCCTCCTCCTCCTCC